CATCATAGGGGTTGTTTCACCATACTTCACCAGACTGGTCAGTGTGGGTTGATGCAAGAGGACAACCAGGACCGATTCAGAAGTGCCTCGGCAACTTCCCCGCTCCTTTTTAAATCCTTTATATTAAGTTCGCTTGCTTGCGTGCTTACGACCGTGCAAATCTTTCGGTCGTTTTTTAACCCATTTCCCGTGATCCAATCGAGCTGACATTTTGCACACAGACTCGTTGTGCGAGACAATTAATGTTCGTGAACATTTTTTTCCAAAATTTTACACTGTTTAGGGAAAACAAATTAAATATTTAATTACCAATTGCTTAATACTGGCAGACAATCATCTGACCCATAGGTGGCAGCCATCTCAAGCCAGAGGACGAGAGGACTCTAGCCGCCACGCATATAAAGGATTTATAGTGAAAAACTTTGTTTTTACGGGTTATACTTATTCTTCCTGGATTCTCTCTGGAGTCATTCTCTGGGTGGAGGCGATTCGAGCACTAAACTCTTTGGCACTGGGCTACTTAAAAGTTGGGCAATGCAACTCCCCAGCCCCCCTCCCCCCACAAATATTATCAGGGCAGTCAAGCAGAGTAAATATATATTTAAATAGCTCCACAATATTCTTAGGTTTTTTCGGTAAAGTCACTGTGTAGGTAAAAACATTAAAAAGTAAAATAAAATAAAAATCACGACGTTTCGGAGGCAACACAAGCTTCCGTCTTCAGGTGGTACCGTCACAGCCACGACAGCTGTATCAAGTACATGAGAGATTGCAGGAGCTACCACCATTATATAAACGGAGTGGTAGCTCCTGCAATCTCTCATTTACTTGATACAGCTGTCGTGGCTGTGACGGTTCCACCTGAAGACGGAAGCTTGTGTTGCCTCCGAAACGTCGTGATTTTTATTTTATTTTTTAATGTTTTTACCTACACGGTGACTTTACCGAAATAACCTAAGAATATGAATCATTGCAGTCACGAAAGCTTCAAATCTAGCTCCACAATAGTACCATTGATCATGTTTATTTATCTGCATTGCAACTTACTCAATGATCGTATTACCTTTAATCAGACAATCTCATCGAAGTGGACATCATTTGATCATTGGTGGGTTTCGTCACGGTCAATCATATTGAGTTACAGTAAAACCTTGGATTGCGAGCATAATTCGTTCCGGAAACGTGTTTGTAATCCAAAGCACTCGTATATCAAAGCACTCGTATATCAGTTGTGATCACGTGACGCTCGGCAGACAGAACGTACTACTCGTATAGCAAGACCTCACTCGTTTATCAAATTAATATTTGTTTTTAAAAAATTGCTCGTCTTGCAAAACACTCGCAGACCAAGTGACTCGCAATCCAAGGTTTTACTGAACTTTCATCATCCACTCTTAGTTGTGGTTCACCAAGATTTCTATAGTAACACTTCATCGGTCAACATTTTGGTAATTATCTACACATCTCTACACTGACAAAGGTTCATGACCATGCGTGCAATTCACGGGACACTGGACAGCAGGTGCTCACATTCGAATAAACCACAGACTCGGTAATTCATATCCGTTATTAATGTTTTAATGTTCGGCATCTGCACAACCGCAACAGACGTCAAAGAAACTTTACCATCAAAATATACGAAATGTATAAACACTTGAACACGTGGTAGCAGTAGGAAGCTTTTGCCACCAACTTTATCCATGAATGCCACTAGTTTTTTTATTATTCTAGTATGCATTACCTCCACAAGCGTGCACACACACACACACATTGTACCCAGGTTTAATGAGATCTCATCGCAGAGAGAAACGTCGCTCTGCAAAAACTAATTCTGGAAGACACACACAAACACATTGTACCCAGGTTTAATGATATCTCATGGCAGAGAGAAACGCCGCTCTCCCAAAAACTCATTCTTGAAGACACACACACACACATTGTACCCAGGTTTAATGAGATCTCATCGCAGAGAGAAACGCCGCTCTGCCAAAAACGAATTCTTGAAGACACACACACACATTGTACCCAGGTTTAATGATATTTCATCGCAGAGAGAAACGTCGCTCTGCCAAAAACTAATTCTTGAAGACACACACACACATTGTAACCAGGTTTAATGATATCCCATTGCAGAGAGAAACGTCGCTCTGCCAAAAACTAATTCTTGAAGACACACACACACACATTGTACCCAGGTTTAATAATATCTCATCGCAGAGAGAAACGCCGCTCTGCCAAAAACTAATTCTTGAAGACACACACACACATTGTACCCAGGTTTAATGATATCTTATCGCAGAGAGAAACGCCGCTCTGCCAAAAACGAATTCTTGAAGACACACACACACACACATTGTACCCAGGTTTAATGAGATCTCATTGCAGAGAGAAACGTCGCTCTGCCAAAACTAATTCTTGAAGACACACACACACACATTGTAACCAGGTTTAATATCTCATCGCAGAGAGAAACGTCGCTCTGCCAAAAACTAATTCATGAAGACTTTTTTTGCAACTCAGTCCTTTAAACAGTTGGCGCTCATACCGCACCGAAACACCAACTCAATTATCTGGGAACCAGACTGATGATAATGTTAAAACATTTTTTTTGCCGAGATTTCAACACAGCTAAAACTTCCCTCAAGGTAATGGTGGGGAGTGCCGTTCTCTCCTTTGCCATTTCCCAACCGCAAAGTTTTCATCGCGGGGTCTTGTAATCTTATAACTTGCGATACCAAAGCGCACAGCAGCCCAGCTCTCAACAGCATGAACAATTCGATGTGGGCGATTACTATGACTTGCTCTCAAACACATTCCTGCTGCGGAGGGAGCTGGTAGGAACGTTGGGTTGCTCGCTCAATGGCCTGCAGGGTCAACGGCGGCGTGGTGTATTCCGCAAATATGCCCGACTGTGAGGGCGGGCACAAGCCGGCGTGAGTAGGTTAAACGTTGAGTTTTATAAGGGCACCACGGGGTGACCAGCCCCTCCCCACCCCTCCCACCCCTCTCCACCCACCCCCCCATCAAGCCCCTACCCACCCAGCCCCTCCCCACCCAGCCCCTACCCACCCTCCCCTCTCCACCCAGCCCCACCCCTCCCACCCCCCCATCCAGCCCCTAACCACCCAGCCCCTCCCCACCCAGCCCCACCCCTCCCACCAGCCCCACCCCACCTAGCCCCTCCCCACCCTCCCCTCTCAACCCAGCCCCACCCCTCCCATTTTTGGATGCACGACGGACGGACAGACACAATAATCCCCTGTGGGCTGGTGGAACCAGGTGGTTCCTACCAGTATCACATTGTAATGTCATTGTGGCCTTCCTGGCAGCCAGTAGAATCTGCGCTGTGTGGATACATCGATGACTGGCGGGACCGCGCCCACATCTCAGTACGATCACTGCACTGTGGAAATGTGGCCGTCGTTAAAGATTAAAAGTGAATGTTAACGGCAAAATAACGGTGCTGTAACTCTCTTTACGACGAAACCCACATCTCCCAACATTTGTACAGTGCAAGAAAGTTACATTTTGCCATTTCGTCACGAGAACCACGTGAAGGTTACACAATGCTCGTAGCTTAACAACGTTCACGGAGCCTTTGTGATTGCTGCCAATGTGAAGTGAGAACAAAGATGGAAAAACGAGCGGTCATTTCCAATCAACCCTGCCTGCTGGTCCAGCATCTTGTTTGTAGACAAAAATAAACCACCGGTTTTCTAAAAGCAACTGCCGCAATAATTACACAATAATCACCACAAAACAACCGACTTCTCTCACAACGGAGGCAGTATTCTCACACAAGACGATTGCCTTGCTCAAAAGAAAACGCAACGCAAAATGGGCTCGGAACAAAATTCTGAACAAGCGTTTAAAGGCCCCCAAAATAAATAAAAAAGAAAGAAAAATAAATACAGAAATATTGAGCGACGCTTTTCAAAATACGAGATTTTTGTTTACAATGTCCCTGAAGGACACACACACACACAGCCACGTTAACACGGACGCTCGCAAGGGGGGCCACGTGAACACGAGTTCGTGTGTGCTGGGGGGCAGCCGTCATTTGAACAGGAAGAGAACCAACGAAAAACAACGCATCCTCCAGTAAAACCCTATTCAAGAAACACCAAGTTAAATGTGACTTGTGTAAAACATATCTTTGAAACAACAAGCTTCCGAGTAAAACATGCATCACCACTGGAACCTCATTTGCCAGTAAAAAATATAATTGGTTTTTTACCCTTCTATCTGGCAACAAAACTGACACCTTTTTTACAAGGAGTCATGTTTGCATAGACCGCAATACCTGCAGTCATAATGCAAACAAAAAACACAACTCTGATAATGTGTGCAGTCCTTGAAGTTGATTGGTCCACACCCATGTGAGACTAGGCTCTAAGGAAAGCTGTCTCAGATGTGGACCAATCTACTTCAAGGACAGTGCATACATTATCAGAGTTATGTTTTTGTTTGTTTTATTTTTCGATTTAAAGCTTTCGTGACTGCAGGGATTCATCTTCTTGGTTCTTTCGGTAAAATCACGTAGAAGGGAAATAATAAAATAATAAAAATAAAACATAATAAAATAATTCTCACGACGTTTCGGCCACAACGCAAGCAGCCGTCCTCAGGTGAAAACCAGGTCTGTCCCTTTGATGCTGAATTAGTACTATTCACATACCTGCATTTCCCATATCCTCTCCCTTTGATGCTGCTAATCCTGCATAATGCACAGGCATAAGTAGTACTAATCACATACCTGCATTTCCCATATTCTCTCCCTTTGATGCTGCTAATCCTGCATAATGCACAGGCATAAGTAGTACTAATCACATTCCTGCATTTCCCATAAATATGCTAAATTCCTCTTGATATGCAAATTCCTTTGTCAAGGCACCCAGCTTATATACATGCTCCAAGCTCGTGTACTCTTTTGTTTGTATTATGACTGCAGGTATTGTGGTCTATGCAAACATGACTCCTTGTAAAAAAAAGGTGTCAGTTTTGTTGCCAGATAGAAGGGTAAAAGAACAATTATCAAAACATGCATGGTTAGCCCAATTAGATATTAGATGACAATCTGATTCATCTTCATCGCACTCGCGGTGGTCACGTGACCGATCTCCGTAACCAGGTTGGGATTCGACGTGGAAATTGATTTTTCGGAGCCGCTCGCTGCGACGCATCCCGCTTTTCGGCAGCTCAGGATGCGCTTGAAAGTGGCGATCATCTCCGTGTCCCGAAACGAGTAGATGATGGGGTTCATGGCGGAGTTGAGCTCCGCTATGAGCAAGAAGTACTTCTCGAAGGCCAGGACGTTGCAGTCCGAGCAGAAGGAATCCAGCAGCAGAATCACCAGGCCCGGCGTCCAGCACACAATAAAGGCTCCTGGGAGAGACGGCACGAGCCATTTTTGGCAGCGACGCGTGGAACAAGACCAGCCTTGATAATTGCTTTTTTTTTACCCTTTTATCTGGCAACAAAACTGACACCTTTTTTTACGAGGAGTCATGTTTGCATAGACCACAATACCTGCAGTCGTAATGCAAACAAAAAAACAGTTGTGCGCCTTTTGGCGTCATCTGGTCCAACACCATGTGAGACTAGGCTCTAAGGAAAGGTGTCTCGGGTGTGGACCAATCAACTTCAAGGACAGTGCGTACATTATCAGAGTTATGTTTTTTGTTTGCATTATGACTGCAGGTATTGTGGTCTATGCAAACGTGACTCCTTGTAAAAAAGGTGTCAGTTTTGTTGCCAGATAGAAGGGTAAAAAAACAATTATCGTGAATCGTGTTGTCGAATGTTCTGCCCAGACAGACCCACAACGCTTACCCAACATGATGGTGACCGTTACGAGCAAGCTCACGGGGGCGTCTTGCCTCCGGGAGCACCTGGAGCTATTCTGCAGCACGGGTATCCTGTCCCTCCACATGTTCACGAAGATGTGGCCGTAGAGCCCCGCCATGATGAGGAACATGGAGAGGTTGTAGCCGGCCCAGAAGGCGACGTAGCTGGCGCTGTACAGCGGCGCCATGGTGGAGCACGTGCCGACGTCGCAGACGCAGTTCCAGCCCATGGTGGGCATGGCGCCGGCGATGATGGCCACGAGCCAGATGATCGCGACGACCGTCACGACGCGCCGCTCGCTCATCCGCTGCATCCGGAACAGCGCGACGTGGCGCTCGATGGCGATGACCAGGAGGCTGGCGACGGAGGCGGTGAGGCTCGTGTTGATCAGCCCCTGGCGCAGCATCCAGGTCTCCAGCGACAGCTTGCGAGTGTTGGGCCCCGTGTTGACAACCAGGTAGATGTACGCCACTCCGGCAAAGAAATCCGCCGCGGCCAGGTTGGCCATGAGAAAGTAGACGGGGTGGTGGAATGTCTTGTTGATGTACACGGCGAACATGACGAGGGCGTTGGCCAGAATGATGCCGAGGCACAAGGTCAGGCCGAGCACCATGACCAGCGTGCTGGTGAAGGACCACTCGTCGTAGAGCGGCTTGTTGCTGTTGCGGTAGAAGAATGCGATCGTCTCGTTGTGGTGGCAGCTGACGTCCATCTCGTTCTCGCGTTGTGTTTCCCACGTCCAAGCACACCTGCAAAGCAAAGATTATTTAAAGGAAACCAACACCAATCGAGACTAGGCTCTAAGAAAAGCTGTCTGGGGTGTGGACCAATCAACATCAAGGACAGTGCATATCATTATCATCATCAGAGTTGTTTCTTTTTGTTTGCATTTTGACTGCTTGTGTTGTGGTTATTGCAAACATGATGCCTTGTATAAAGGTGTCAAGTTTTTGTACCAGTTTAAAGGGTAAAAACCTACTACTAAAGAGCTGTTGTTATACAATTACATCTCGATAGCGTTCCTCCTCTGAGCGTCATGATCATAGACAATGGCACCATCTTATTATCTGCACTGGCGTCCGTGACTGATTGCCCTATTTAATGACCCCCAGGGGAATGTGACTCAGGGTCGTGAAAAGAGGTGATGTCATCTTGTCACACTGCCGATACATGTGTACGCACACGCGTGTACATGTATAGGAACTCTCGCATCATACATGTACAGTCCGCTTGAATAATTCCACTGCTGGATGATGACCTCCGCACACGTCTTGTGGGTCGGGTCAAGAGCGATATTTGACTATACTTCACCACGCTGGTCAGTGGGGTTTGTGGTGGAGGTGGTGGTGGGGAGTGCAGTACACCAATAGGGGTTTCTGCACTGCCAACTGCTGTCTACAACGCCCACAGCACCTTTATACTGCACGTGGTGGTGGTGGTCAACCCATCCAAAGCACTTCTGACACAAACCCTGCTTAGCTTACAAAATCGGAAAAGGCTGCGTGCATTGTGAGTGATCTGGTCAAAGGCTACGTTGACATCAGCACACTAACATTGCATACATAACACTGGTCAACACACTTTTTGTGGCATAAGGTATTCCAACGGTGTTAAGGTCATTTTGGGGTGCTGATGATTCCAAATCTGGCATCAGTTTTTGTCCATCACATCAGGTTTTTGAGATATTATCAAATATTGCATTTTCAATAAAAACGGCAGAATAAAAATATTAAATAAATGTGGATATCTACATAAAATGATATTATATGCACACTCTCCTAAAAATACAGCACCGTATTTTAACACTAAAGCAGTCACTGACTCGCAACAACTTGCAATCATAAGTGACAGAGTTAATTTCGGGTAAAATCAATGAAAATGGGGTATGCCGATAGCATAAAAAATAGACGTGATAGAGCAAATCTGAGATCAGATTTAGAATCGGCACCCTGAAATTAGCCTAGAACAGCTGCAACAGTCCAGGCCAGAAAAACATGTTTTTGTTGTTGTTGACCAGTGTAATTAACGCGGCTTGCAATTTAGGAAGAAATGCCGCATTACACGTAACAATGTCATGGTTTCTAGCACAGATTCTCTTCACGTGAGAGTTGGGGACAGACTAAAAGAGGGTTTGAACAAGGCGAGCCCTGGCTACCTGTGGCGTTCACCCTCTACACGATAACAAACGCAACGCAAACCTCACAGAATCCTGTCATTGTTGAGCAGCGTCTCTTAGGATTAGCACATGGCCAGTAGGCAAGGCAAGGTCAAAACAAGCTGACCTTTACCCGACCTTTGACCTCACCCCTCGGCACACAGACACCTTTACCCTTTGACCCCTCTGCAGGCAGTCGACGGAGAAGTGGCGGGAAGAAGGGCCCAGGCTGCGCACGTGTTGGCTCAGGCGAGGCCCGGATGTGGATGTCAGGGCCCCGGATGTCAGGGCCCCGGATGTCAGGGCCCGTGGACACGTGACGCAGGAGGCGTGGCCAGGGGGCGGGGCTCGGGGGAGAGAAGATGAAAGGGGGCGGGGCGAAGGGGTCAGTCACGTGACCTGGGTCTCTGTGAGTCTGTGGGTCTCTGTGAGTCTGTGGGTCTGTGTGAGTGTGTGTGAAAATATAAGAATAGATTTACCCTATTCTTATGCATTATCTTTCATTATCCTATGGGCATAAATAAAGTTGGGCCAGTCTGCCAAAATGTCACGTTTTATATACATTCTTTCTCTGTTATGGCAGAAAAAGAACATGCTGTTCTCGTGAATCAACCGGATTTTCATTGCATTCGTTCACGAATGTAGCACCTTATACATGGCACAAAAAGACAGCTTGGTGTGGAGTCAAAAGGGATTATCCCAGTAAAATACGATCAACTCCACCACGACAGCGATCGCTGCGCACGTCAGCTTACATGAAGTATGATCTGTGTTTTGATTTAGTGCGCTGATCTTAAAGGTGCATTGAAAAATGTTGATACTCCGACTGATGCTCCTGCTGTTGTGGAGTGACTCATGCAGCCAGCTATGGCTGCAGGGTTCTGGTGGTACATGTTGTTTACGTCGTTTATTGTGAAAATTCGGTCACAGTTCCTATGATCACTGTTTCATTGCTTTTATGGCTTGATTTTGGTGATTTTCGAAAAGTTTTTTGGTTTGGCCATGTTTGTTTGTTGTAGTACAGAGTTAGACTGATGGCCTTAATCTAAGTTGTCTTGTGGTTGTTGTTGTTGTTGTTTGAATTGCATCCCACTGGGATTTTTGCACACAGCGTTGGTGTAACGGTGCTTTTTCTGCAATATTTTGCTGTCTTTTCTTGGATTTTCTGTTTGCACTCAGTCACATATTCACTTTAAGATGTTTTTGTTCATGTTTTTGTTTTTTGTTTGTTGAGGTTGCACCCGATTCAAGAGCCAAATGGCTCACAGGGCCACACCTAATACATGAACATGAACTTGAAGGTCCTAGTGTGGACACACGTTGACCAGTGTAAGAGGCGGGGGGGTGGTCACCTTCGGTCAACCCCCACACGCCTCAAGTTTCAAGTTTTCATGTATTAGGTATAGCCCTGTGAGCCATTCGGCTCTTGAATCGGGTGCAACCGCAACAAACAAAAAAACAAAAACATGAACAAGAAAACATCTTAAAGTGACTATGTGACTAAGTGCAAACAGAAAATCCAAGAAAAGACAGCAAAATATTGCAGAAAAAGCACCATACACCAATGCTGTGTGCAAAAATCCCAGTGGGATGCAAGTCAAACAACAACAACAACAACCACAAGACAACTTAGATTAAGGCCATCAGTCTAACTCTGTACTACAACAAACAAACATGGCCAAACCGAAAAACTTTTCAAAAATCACCAAAATAAAGCCATTAAAGCAATGAAACAGTGGTCATAGGAACTCTGCTGCCCCCTGTGGGCCCGTGAGCTTGGGTGCATCTAAGGTGACCTGCAGAGCCTTGCTACGGTACAACACGTGTACACACACTCACAGTTTAACACTCACACACACAACAACAACCGCCATTCGCCACTAAGTGGCGGTGACGTCACCACGACGCTTGTGCCAGGCCATGTGCACTTTGAGGCTACCACGTGGCAGGAGGAGGTCACGGGGCAGACCCAGCAGGTGTCACGTGTCAACTGACTGAGACAGTGGCTGATGCTACCACCACATTGTGGGCCCCTGCTGTGCCAACTCGCTGTGTGGGTCTCTGCAGGTCTCCACAACTTGCGGATGAGTTCTGCTGCTGCCATTTCAACGACCCTGAGGTTTGGTGGTCGTCTGGGCCTTCGTTGGTGTTGACGCCTTGGTAATTGAGATGTTAACTACCTCGCCTGGTGTACAGGAGGTCGTGGGTTACACCATAATCATCACGGTGGCTGGGAAATGTTAACTACCTCGCTACTATACACTGCACGATACAATACACTACACTGGCATACACTACTATACACTGCTATACACTATAGTAATGTACACTACACTACTATACACTCCACTACTGTATACTACACTAAACACTTATATCTCTATACTATACAGTACACTACTATACAATACACTATACTATACACTACAAAGCTATACAATACACTACTATACACTTATATATACTACACTACACTACTATACACTCCACTATACAATACACTATACACTTCAATATACTACACTATACACATATATACTACACTGTACTATACAGTACGCTACTATACACTACACTGGTATCCACTACACTACTATATACTACACTATAGTAATATACACTTTACACTACTATACACTACTCTAAACACTTATATTTACTACACTACTATACACTATACTATACAGTTGTTGGGGCCGCTGGTCCCCGAAGTCCCTCCCTGCTCCGTACCTATGGCAGGGGCTCTGCCGTTCGTCGACCCCTCGCTGCTCTGCGAGCAGCTGCTGCCGTCGCTGGGCTCATTGCCCGACGGCTCCCCTCCCTGGTCCGTCCCTCCGCGAGCTCGTGTGAGAGGCATAGCTCGCCGCACGCTCTCGTTCACCTGTACATGCTGCGTTGTCTCTCCACGGATCACGCGCTCTAAACGGGGGTCAGGGGTCGGAGGGCGAATGACGCTGCCCTCACACCGCGCGAGTCCCTGCGGCGATAGACGGAGCGGGTACCTGCGGACGCACCGACCCCTTCCCCCACACTACGAGCGCACACACTGCACACACGCGACACCCACTCGTGCGCCGCTCTACGCAGCGCTCCCACGAGGCGAGCCGCTGTATAAGCAGCACTACACGCGTTCACACTGCTCAACGAGATCACACGAGGCCACGATTCGCTATTAATGATTTATTGTTGACTACCTGGAACTGTCTTCTTGGTTCTTTCGATAAAGTCACGTAGAAGGAAAATAATAAAATAATAAAAACATAATAAAACAATTCTCACGACGTTTCGCCCACAACGCAAGCAGCCGTCCTCAGGTGAAGTATGAAACACCACCAAGCTTGGAGCGTATATTTAAGCTGGGTTGGAGGGGGGGAGGTGGGAAGAAGAGCACCTTAACAAAATAATTTGCATATCAAGAGGAATTTAGCATATGGAAAATGCGTAGGAGGTGGGCGGGGGGGTTTCAAATTAATATTATGCCCGTGCATTATGCAGGATTATCAGCATCAAAGGGAGGGGGAAGGGGGGTAGCATTAACAAAGGAAAGGAATGTTAATAGTATGTAGCTGCAGTTACTAAACAACCACGTAAAAAACTAAAGTATAAACTGCATACTATATACTGCCATAGACAAACCCAACATTAATTTATATACTGTATTGCTATAAACCACCCTATACCTTATACATTTTAATATAACACTGTATTATTCTACCCACCTTAATGTGTATCACACTGCTATATATTTACTATACAATTACGATACTATATATTACTTTGTACATTGTATTAAGCATATAAATGTTATACTATTTGTTATTATACACTGTACCATTGACCGTCGTGTCAATGGATGAGTAGTGAGGGGAAACTTGCAGCGGAGCAAAGAATCTATTCCCTGCGGAGAATACAATGCCAGTGAGTGGAACGCGGTCTGAAAGTCACCGTAAATGTGAACACAATCAGTTAAGATCCGAAATGGTTTATTACGTCCTTCCAATGATTGCTAAGCCAGAATCCATCTTCTCGGTTGAAATTATCTCTGTGTTTGTATATGTGGATAGCCTCATGAACGAATCTCTCATGAAAGCCAGTTGGCTTGCAGAGAACCTCTGTCTTGGAGAAGTCAATGTCATGTGAGCCCACTGAATTGTAACAGTGATCTGCCACGGCTGAGGAGTTTGTCCTACCGTGTTTCAGGTCTGCTTTATGTTCACGGATGCGGTCCGAGACATGTCGTTTGGTTTCTCCAATGTAACTGCTACCACAGAGGCAACTTAGTTTGTAGACGCCAGGGTACTGTATGTCTGGAACCACATCTTTTACAGACGGGACCAGATCACGGATTTTTTTGTACTGTGTTGAATCGGACCTGGATCTTGTGTTTAATCAGGATTTGGAGATCTTTTTTGTGACCCCAGCAATGTAGGGTAAGGTGATGGTCTTGAAAGGCTCCTCAACAGGATTCTTC